CTCTCTCTCTCTCTCTCTCTCTCTCTCTCTCTCTCTCTCTCTCTGTCTCTCTCTCTCTCTGTCTCTCTCTAGTTGTTTCAAATTTAAAACACAATATGCTCAGAGGCACTGATACCCATTTACTTCCATATTATTGAGGAGTTTGAATGTCTAAAATTGTAGGCTATTTAAAATATAAGCACTGGAAGGTTTTCTTTCCCCATTGACAGCGTTCATGTTTTGTAGCATGAGAAAGAACTCCAAATGTTGCTGTCTCAGTGAAACCAATTGTGAGCTAGGCCCTTGGTTGGAGGGCTGCAGGTAGGAACAGGGCTGTGGATAGACGTCTGTCAGTGCAAGTTGCCACTGGTGTCCACCCTGTGTGGGCTGGCTGGTGTCGTGGTACGAGGAGAAGTCCCTGCTTGTGGCATGGTGAGGGTGCATGAAGGGTCCCATGTAGGTTTCACCAGCTGTGTAACTATGCCCCCCCTCCACACACACATCCCACAGACAGAATCCACAGGGTGTGGCAACCATTGTCCCAAACCCAAGCTTAACAGGCTGGGGTCTGTCACAGGGGAGGCATCTGATGAGTGTTGTGAAGCAAGGCCTGACCACAGCAGTGTTTCTGGAGCTCGAAAGAGGGGATTCCTACTTAAGGGTGGAAGTGGAGAAGGAGAGCAGCAAAATCAGCAGAGTCTTTCAGGAAAAGGTGGGATCTGAATTGTGACGAAGCACTGAGCCTTGGATGTGTGGAGCTGGTGCTATCCAGGTACTATGCATGGGTTGGGAGGATGGATGTCACCAGCATCCCACAATAAGGGAGCAGTTTGACAGCAGAAAAGTTCCTGAAAGAGGAGGAAGTTGGAAGTGGGTTGAAATATTGTTTGGGACCAATCCCTGAGAGACCAATTCATGGCTAGATGTGGGGCATTTGAACCTTATTCTGTATGAAGGTATTGCTTGGGTCTTTTTTTTTTAGGTTTTGATTAATAAATTATATAAACCACTTTAAATTCAGTAGCATTTAGGTAATTTATTTATTTATTTACTTATTTATTTATTGTATTTTAGGGAAAGGTCTACAGGGTGTTCAGGGTCACACTACTAGGTCGGACTTGTAGTAATCTGCCTGTTTACAGCCTCCCAAGAGCTGAGATTACAGGTGCTGGCCACCATGCCCAGTCTCATTTTCTGTCTCAGCGTACCCTGGGGGGTGGGGTCAACATGCCATGGTAACTGATTTTTAAATAGGAGATCAACTTGACCAGAAGTAGGGTTCATAATGAACTAAGTGGCAGTGTATAGGTGGCAAAGAGATGGTTCGAGAAAAGAGAGAAGAATGTTTGAAAACCCATTAGTAGAGTCCAGGCTGCAGTTGGGTAGAGGAGGGGAGCAGCAGTAGGCATGGAGGGGCAAGGACAGGGGTGAGAGTTGCTGGAGACAGACTGGAAGGACTAGGTAGGTGGTGAGGTAGATGAAGGAAGGAAGGGAAGAGGAAGGAGGAGAAAGGTCATCCGGGAATGAAGATTATGAATCTGGAAATTATCTTTTTAAAAATGGAATGAATCTTTAAGACTGGAGGAGATTGTTAAGGAATACCAGTGTGGAGAGAAAAAAAATATATACTTCGGTAAATATACTTTGGGAAAGCTTTAAGAGAGAAAAGGAAGGGAAAAAATCAGATTGTAGTATGTGCTTAGAAAAATAAAAGTAGGAAAGTTGATATGACAGAAGTTTAGAAAGAAAAATGCAAGTATCTCATCAAATACTGCAGGAAGATTGAACATCTCAAAAATTGAGGGAGGCCATTGATTTTAATAATCAAAATGTTATTGGTTATTTAAAAGTCATGGAACCTTGTAAGAAGGAAATAGGCCAAGCATTCTGTCACTGAATGGCTCAAAGGAAGTGGTTTTGGTGGTAGGTAGGGGAAGGAAAATTTTGAGGATGATGGAGAAGACAGATGGATTTGATAGCATACTGATCTTTTCTGTATCTTTTAAGTATAATAATGTGTAAGAATTTTGCTAGTAATTTTCAGAGGGAACTACTATGTACTAACATGGTTGAGTGAGATGGTCTTTGGTATTATATTTCTTTAAGGAAGCCTTAGAAGAAACATAATGTTTGGAGTTTAGAGAGGTTTTAATTTTAATTTCAGAGTGGTTCTGAGTGCTGTAGATAGAAGATCTCATCCCAGGGCTGGGAGGACTTGCCTAGCATGCACCAGGCCCTGCAGTCCCAGGATCACCAAAAATAAAATTACTTTTTGAAGAGCCACTGAATAAACCATTTAAGTTTTCAGGACACATTCTGTTTTTTCATCTTTCTATTTATCTATTGTCATGAACTTTTAAGAACATTAAAGATCACTTTTAGCTCACAGGCAGTAGAATAACAGACTGGAGTTTTTCTATCTCGATACAGAACAAGCTATGCAATAGGTAAAACTTCTGAGACATGTTTAAAGCGATCCCAGAGTCAGAAGCCATATAGAGAAAGAACTGGAGAAACATGGGTGGGAATGTCAACATTGCACATGTTAATTGAATTGGCATTTCTTTTGTTAGCCAAGGTGAGTAATTTTTGAATTTTTTAAAGGATTAAATTGGTAGCTGGTAAGATGAGACAACTGAAAGAAATGCTGTTACAAAATCTTGGAAGGGAGCAGGACTTCTTAAGTAGTGAAGTAAATGTATTTGTCCATGACACCGTGGAGAGGATACTTGACAAATGATCAGAGTCAAAGTCTTTAAAACTATGGAAATTAACCCAAAGCTTACAGTAACCTAGAGCATATTAATTTAAGAAAACATGTGAAACCTTTGTAAAATTTGTAAGGTTTTTAAAACTTGTCCCACCTCCATTTCCTCTGCTCAGCCTCACGCTGTCTTTAGAAATAGTAGCTTTTCGGTGACACAGGTGTGGACTGAGGGTACAGCTCTTCTTAAGTCCCTCACCAAGGGCAGTGTCCCTGTGGATCTGCCCGTGCAGCCTCTGGCACTGGGCTTGTGCTGGGCCGTATACATGCCTAGGTCCAGGAGCTCAGGTAGGCTGACAGTTCTTCAGGGCTGGAGGTGCCGGCAGGCTCTCAGATGCACTGCTGATGAAGTGCTTTAACCGCCTTCTGATGAGCTTGACGGCCAGGGCGCTAGGCTGGCTCCTATGGGCTAGAATCACATTGAGCATAGTATCTATACCTGTTTCTCCAGAAAATGGTATGCAAAGGAATAGAGACTAAGAGACAGTAGAGAATAAAAGAGAGAAAAAGAAACCCTGCAGAGATCAAAATCATCTCTTTCATCGCTCTTTTACAGACGACCTCAGAGGGAGGTGCAGACCCTCCCAGCCTCTCCCTTTGCTCCAGTCCTGTTGCCCTGAGCATGAGGAGAAGCTAGCAGGACTCCCGATCTCCTGCAGGCCCAGGAGTTGTCCCTGTGTTCTTAGGACAGAAGCAGTTGCCACCTGGCCTTGTGCTGCTCTCTCTAGACATGAAGCAAGTGCATCTGAAATGCTTGGTTTAAAGAAATTTATAAAGCTCTAATGACTTTTGTTTTCTCTTTTCCAGCTGCCTTTCTGGGAATTTTGCACTGGTAAGATTTGGTTTCAGTTTGAAATAAAAAACAACTGGATTAAAAATTTCTGCTACAATTTGTATATAGTAGAACAGCTCCTGATTATGTGTATAGAGCATCTCTAGCTATGCATATTAGTGTGTACATGTGTTAATTTTCATTGCACAAATCTCCTCTGACGTAACATTTACAAAATAGATGCATTAGGGAAATGGTAAGTTATGAGTTCAAATACGTTTGCTTTCCCAAGGAATTTGCCCCTGCATTTCTTCAAATATCTACTTTTCCTAGTGTGTTTTTCAGTTCACTTAATCATTTCTTCATTTTATAGTAACTGAGTTAGTGACATAAGTATAAGGCTTTTAGCAAGTTTGCCAGTTGGAAAGTCATAGCAGTGGACAAAGTTTCCTTCCTGCTGGGGTGAAGTAGAGTTGAATAACTGAGGCTTCAGTGGGGATATATAGGCACTTTATAAAAGTGACCTATTCTTAATAATTGTTTGAGAAATGAGGATATTTTCCCTCTAGAATGCTCACATCCCCTGAGCTCTGATGCTTCTATTCCTGGGAAGGGTGAGGCCTGCCCCGGTTCTGCTGGCACAGTGCTGCCTTGTGCAGTGGGCCTGCAGTGAGCTCCGGTGTCAGTACTAAGGCTGGGATGGTAGGCGGCAGGGCTCTGGGAGCTGTGGGTGCCCACGGCCCACAAGGAAATGGTGCAGAACCAGAATTCTGCTTCCTTTTTGACTTCATTAAAAAGCACTCCATAAATTAAGTGTCATATAAGTGCTGATTATAACTAATTTGTTTGTCACATGTGATCCTTTTGTGACTGCCTGTTCCTGTTGAGTGGCACCACTAAAATATCTTCCAGTCCAGTGCTGTGTTCTTTGGCATTTAAAGTCGATCCTTTATGTGACATTATATTTATTTAAAAGCTGATTTAATCTAGAATGATTTACTTAAAATTATATTCCTAGCATTTTTCAACAATTACAGAGGCAATTCCCAAACCTGGTACATTTGTATCACTTGTTAAACAAAACCTGCCTGTGCTCTCATTCAGAGGCCTGAGGTAGAAGGAAGAGGAGAGACCACAGGGATTATAATATACACACGAGTAAGATTAAGAACAGAATTAAGGGATTTAACTGTGTGCTGCCCTGGATTATGTATGCCCCAAAACATAGTAAGTTTGTGTATCATTGACTCAAAATTTATTATAAAGAAATTATTTTTCCTTTCCATGGTTTTCTTACTTTGCTTCTCTGTCGCTTTGCAGTACTGATTTGGAAACCTGTTCTTATTATGTAATATTACCTTATAATCAGACTATAATATATGTTATAATATTTATCATTTTATATTTCATATTTTTTCCTAGGATACATTTAACAACACTTTTTGAGAATGACCGTCATTTTTCTCACCTCTCAACTTTGGAACGGGAGATGTCTTTTCGTGATGAAATGGTATGTTCTTTCCTCTGTAGAGTTAATTTATGCATTCAAAAGAGTAAGATTATGAAGTAGAAATTTTGTTAGGAACAGAAGCAGGTTCCCATTGTTGGTGTTTCCCATTTCTCCTTTCTGTCTACATGAATTTTACAGAATACTAGGTACCTCAGCTGCAGCTTTTTATTTTCATCAGTATAATGCCTGCAATGATTCGAAGACCCTGAATATGCTAAAATTTGTATGTCATTTCAATATTTTGAAAGCATTATTTGTACAGGATATAAAGTGTTATTAAATAAAGAGGATAGCTACGGCAGTCTGGGCCTTCTCCTGGGTGCAGTTCACCTAATTCAGATAGCAGGTCTGGGATTCTTTGTACTAAGTAGACTGGTCAGTTACTGCCTGATGCTGAGTCATCTCCTTGGCTAATCAGAAATCATGCCCACCATATGTGTTTCAGTGAAAATGAAGGTAGAGGAGGAACAGAGACACAATTCACAGGATCTGCTTGCAGCTTGTGAACTTGGGAGTTCTCTGAAGATGGGATCTGAAAAGAGAAAGCAGCTCCCTTTTCCCCAGGAGCTCAACAGGCTTAAAAGTGTTCTCAGAGTAGAGTGCAGTGTTTAAATGAGCTGGTGGCTCCCCAGCCAGGAGAAAGTGCACAGGAGGCGAGAGATGGAAAAGATGATGGAAAAATGGAGATGGATGCATAGAACATTAGAGCTCTCTTCCAGGCCACCAGGGACAGAACCCAGGACAGGATGGATGACTCAGGCAGTGACAGCACTGAGGGCAAGTGAAAGGAGAGGGGGAAGGTGGTGCACCTGGTTCCTGGTCTCCTCAGGGTCCTAGTTCAATCCTCAGCACTGAGAATAAAGGAAGGTCAAAAGTAAATAAAAGCAAGTGCACAGATCTTGACTTTGTAGATTCTTAAAAATGAAAAATGTCATATGGGAGAGATGTGTGATTGGGACAGAAGTATACTTTGGCTTCAGCTCTCACTAGATTAAAAAAAGTATTTGTTTTCATATTTTAACTTGGCATTTTTTGTTTAAGTCAAAGTAACTCTTTCAGACTAAGTTCCTGCTTAGGCAAGTGCAGAGATCCAGATTTGATCCCTGGCACCATAGGCAGCGCAGGCCCCATCCCCAGATATGCTGAGTCAGCCACCGAGTCTGGATGGGGTGGCATGTGCCTGGAATGCCAGCGCTGGAGGATCATTACAGGTCCCAGCTGTGTAATGAGACCCTGTACAAAACAAAACAAAACAAAACAAAACAAAACAAAACAAAACAACCCAAAAAACCTCCTTCAGTTTGGGAAGATGAATATTTTCTTTGATGAATGGAAGTGGTATTGAATGCTACCCAATGGCCAGTCAGACACCAAAATCTTGTCCAGAATGAATGCAGTTGTGGTGTTCATGCTTATAGCTTTGTGACTGTAGTCAGCAGAGATGAAGGCTGTACTGACAATGCCAAGTGAGCTCAGGTTTATGAACAGCTCCCATGTAACCATGGTATTTAAAAGTGAATCTCCACTGCATTCTATAAATACATAGTACTTTTTTTGAATTTTGATTTTGTATAATTCAGGATAAAAGTATGTAAAAAAACAAAATAGTGAAATAAAGCTAGAATAATTGCAGAGTTAGTGTGTAGTGTTTTTAATTTTTGGAGAGAGGACAGTGTTAAACAGTTTGACCCATTCAAATAGTTTTACCCTTTATTTGCTTTTATAGATAGTGTTCCTCCTTATTTTTATCTGAAAATGTCAAAGTGATGAAGGAATTATTGGGAAACAACCCGCTTTTTAAAAATCATTGAGTTTTCCCTTCAATGAATGTAAACATTGTGTGCCATAAACAGGAGCTAAGACTATAATATTAACAAGAATGAAAATGGGGAGAGGGGAATTAGAGGAAAGGGGAGGAGAGAGGTGGGAGATTGTCAAAAAGAATCAAGAATCAGGCCATATTATGTACATGTACCCACTCTCCAGATGATTCTAGATTGCATGTACTACAAATATATACTGATTTTAAAAAATCGGAAAAAATCCTCAGGTTTTAAATCAGCCCTGCTTTTGTGACCTACTGAAAGCCTGATTCTGTGCAGTGGAGTGAGTCACTAGGCTGCCCCCTTTGCAGCTCACCTCTGTGGGCAACAAAAGCCCACCTGTCACTTGTGCAATAGGCAGACCTGGGCTGAGAAGCAAGCCGGCGCGTGAAGCTCTCTTACCGCGGTGTGCGTGTGATCATGATGTGAGAGTTCTTGAGAGTATGGGGCAAAGGGGCATTGTGTGTAAAGCTGTACAGGGTCACGAGGGCACCCTTGTTTATAGTAGAATTTGGGATCTGATCCATTTCAAGCATGACGTAAAATCAGATGTTCTAAACTGAAAATGATATTGTACACATATTTTAAGTCACTACTGGAAAGCTAGTCAGGTGTGGTGGCACAGACTTGTCATCTCAGTACTAGGGAAGCTCAGGCAAGAGGATTGCCACAAGTTTGAAGCTGGCCTGGGCTACTTAGAGAGCAGGGCTCTGTCTCAAAGACTGGGAAAAAAATAAGAAAGAGGGGAAATAAATGCTTATTAAAACATTTGATGATCCTCAAACTCTTTAGTATGAAAATTCTCAGTTTACAGAAAAACTGAAGGAATAGTTGAGAGACTCTAAAAATACATGATTCCTTAGTCCACTAATGTCAATGGAGGCATATTTAGTAATTCTTATTATTGATCTTTCCTCTTTTTTTCAAAGAAATATACTCTTAACAGTTTTTAAAATTTTTTTTATTCAACAGCAAAGTAGAATTAAATCATATATTGTAGGAAAGATGGATAAAATTAGAAACCATCATTGCAGGACCAGTGAGATAGCTCAGCGGTCTAAAGCACCTGCTTAGGCATGTGTGCAGGGACTGCAGTTAGATCCCAGGTACCATGTACCATGCCAGCCCCACTCCCAGGGTAGGCTGAGCCAGCCAAAACAAAACAAAACAACAAAAAGACCCATCATGGTAAATGAAATTGGCCAGAAAAAAATAAAAATCACGTATTTTATTTTATTTGAGAAATCAAATGAATGATTAAAAATAAAATAAGGAGAGATGGCAGGAAACTAGAAGGTAGACTTTTGCAGATAAAGAAGGACCTCGCTGGGAGGGGAGCAGGAAGTAGAAGGGACTGGTGGGACTGAAAATGATCAAGAATGTTATCGGCGTGTACAAGTCTTGCAGAAGAGAACACACTGTTCTGTGATATTAATAGGCACTAATAAAAATTTTAAAATGAAATAAACTATTCTAAAGTTTTACTTATATTGACTGCATGTGCCTTTTTATTTTTTATAAAGGGACTTTATTATTCTTACTTCAAGACCCTTATTGAAGCACCTTCATTTCTGGAAGGTCTGTGGATGATTATGAACGACAGGCTCACCGAATATCCCCTTGTGATTAATACAGTGAAGCGGTTCCATCTTTATCCAGAGGTGAGCGACACTTGAAACAGATAATGCCTGCAGTGTGGTTCTTGTTTTGATCAGATAAGCATTCTGACCTTTTAGGTTGATTGATTAAAGATGTTCTTATAGTCGAATGGAGTATTAGTTCCTTTCTTAATATATAAAGGCCCCAGTGACAACATTCATGTGAACTCAAAGAATAAGTGCTAGCATAGGAGAGAAGACCAGGCACTAAACCAGCCACAAAGCTGGGTATCTCCTAGGGTTTGGCCTTAACATTTAGTATAGTTTTAGTGGAAATCTGCAAATTCTAGAGAATTGAAAAACTGAACTGCAAGGAAAGATTAGTAAGCTCATTTAAAGCTCCTGCAAGCAGGTGCAGGGACTAGGAGTTCAATCCTGGGGCCTGTCCTGCCAGCCCCGCCCCCGGGGCATGCTGAGACAGAGATTGAGACTGGGTGTGGTGGTGTGCACCTATAATCCCAGCGCTTGGGAGGCTGTGAACAGGCGGATCACTACAAATCCAATCTAGTAGTGAGACCCTGAGCACCCTGTAGGCCCTCCCCTAAAATACAAAAAAAAAAAAAAGATTATAGAAATGTAGAGAATAATACTCAGCTATGTTTAATCAGCCACCTAGAGTAGAATGAGAAAATGCTTATCTTTTGGGTATTTTGGCCCAGACTTTTTAAATAACTTAAATTGTAAGTAACACCAAAGTCACCTTTGTTTTCAGTCCCATTTGCGTCTCTCCTCTTCCCACAAGATCCCTTAGTATAAATATGTGCGGACTCATCTGATCCACTTCAAGTGTGGTTTTATGTGTTCTTGATTCCCAATAAATGCTGTGCTACTGAACATGCTTCTCTACAACATTTTCCTCAGCATTTCATATGTTTTAAACCCTGTGTATGTGTGAATATTTTTTTAATTTTTTAAAATGTTTCCTTTATTTCCTTTTTCTTTTTTAATGGTCAGCTCAGTCCACCCGGGGGTGGGGCTGGCATGGCATGTGGTGCTGAGGATTGAACCAAGGTCCCTGCATGCTTGCCTAAGCAGGCACTTTAGACCACTGAGCTATCTCACCAGCCCTGTATGTGTGAATATTGACTTTGTTAATCCCAACTATTTAATAAATTCCAAATTTTATTTGCACATTTCTTTAGTAGTAGATACCAAGTCATTTTTAATCTTCCTAATGTCACCAGTTCTAAATGCATGGATCTATAGCTTCTTCCTCCTGTGTGTGGGCAACATTTTCTACAGACCAAATACCCAGGGTTGCAGTTGTGGTGTTGTAGCTGAGGAACTTTTTGTAGATTCTTTTGAATTTTTCTCTTGTGTCTGATGATATTGCCCATAAGTAAAAGCAGTTTTACTTCTTAGTTTCCAATCCACATGCTTGAAAACATTTTAAAACAGCTTTATTGAGCTATAGTTGGCTTACCATAGCTGGTTACATATGAAGTATGCAGTTTGGTAGGTTTGATCCCAGGAATTCCCGCCCAGGAAGCCATACCCTAATCCAGACAAGGTCCTTCCTACCCATCATGCCAGGAGTTCCCCTGTGCGCCACGATAATTTCTTCCTCCTCTTCTCTGCCCACATGTGATCCCCAGGAAACCACCAGAGTGCTTTCTGTCACTACAGTTCAGATCTCATTTTGTAGACTTTTATACAAATAGAATCATAGAGTTGTTCTGTGCCCAGGTTTTATTTTTTTTTACAGTTGACTGAATGGGGGCACAGACAGGCCAGATGTTACTTATTTTCCCTGGGGAAGAGAAGACACTGCAGCATGCAGGCCCACCAGGGAAATACCATTTTGACCAAGGCAGAAGCAAGGGCAAGGGTGAGCCTAGGTCTGAGCTCTTGTTGGAGTTCTATGGGACAGGCAGGGGAGGGAAGAGTAAGAAGCCCACCAGTAAAATCAAAAGACATGAAAACTAGGTGAAAATGGTTGCAATAGATATCACTGAAGAAAGGCTAAACTGTCTGATGTGGAAAGAGCTATTTATTCTTCTGGGTAGGAGATGAAGAGAGCTGGAAAAAGCGCCATTCCCACCCCTCCACTACAAAGAAATTAGACAAATTGTAAGTTAAGGCACTTTCTTGAACCCATCAGAAAACTGAGGCCACAACTGAGCAAAAACATTCAACAAATTCCAAGAGGGATGGGTGCCTGCAGAGAGAAATTGGGGCTAAGATAGATGGAATAGATGCTGCCAAATGCCATATAAATCAGCAGGAAGATTAAAGTAGATCACTTTTATGGGCTGGTAAAGGCTCAGTGTGAAGTAGTGTGAGAAGCAAAGGCCCTGGGGTCAGAGGCTTCGAGGGGTGGGGAGAAAGGGAAAGTGTACAATGTTTTCCATGTGCTAGTAAGTGGGAGAACAATAACACCACTTTCAAACTCATGTCCCCAGCTTCTTCTAGTTAAAAATGCCACTCTCTCTGGGGAGAAAGAACTAAAACTACTGTTTCTGGGCCTTGGTGAGTATTCAGTGCAGCTGGTAGAATGGGTTGACAAAGCAACTGTGTTTCTAGACATGGGATAGAACCACCTTGGAGGTCACACCTGCAAGACCCCAGTTCATTGTATACCCACCTAGGACAAAAACCTCACACCCCCACCCAACTAGTGCATTATTAATACAAATGTGACAGTGGAATAGTGCTTGGTGAGGTCTTGATCTTTGGTGGAAGACATATGCACCACGACTAAAGTACACCCTGCTTCAAACTGCATGGGAACAGTTTTCTTTTACAGAGTAACAAAAGAGAAAATTCAAAATCCAGCAAAAGACATGGCACCATGACAGTAGACTGAAATCGCTGACATTGATAGCAACAATGGACTCCAGTTTTGGTAATTATAGCAATAGCAGATTTCAAGCCTAGCCTACCTCTTGGACTAGAGGAACACAGACTCCCACGATAAAGGTTCAGCTGAAGGAAAGGAAAATTCTGAATGGTGAGAAGTCCAGGATCAAGGTCCTGGCAGGCTCAGATGTCTGATGAAACTGCTGATTGCTGCCATGATCTTGTGTCCCTGAGGACAAGGCACTGTGTCTCTTGGAGGCAGAAGGGAAGAGGCCCGAATCCTACAGGAAGCCTACTTCGTAAGAACCTTAATCCCATTCACAAAAGAAGAGTCCTCAAATCCTCACCTCTTAGTGCTGTGGCACTGACTGCTAATATGAATACCCAAGTTCTTCAAGGAGCACACTCAGACTGTTGCAGGGCCCACTGGTGATTGTGGACTGTCAAGCTTTGGACTCCAGATCTGAGAAAATGAGGCAGAATAGGAAGCTTGGGGAGCTCATAATCATGCCAGCCTTTGGGCTCCATGTCTCCTTCTTCCTCCTCTGCAGTTTCCAAGTGTCATCTTGTGCTTGATTTGTGTATAATACATAGGGTGTTCATGTGTACTTGGGGGAGAAACAGGGAAAAGGAGATGCATCCCATTGCCCAAAAAGTGAATACTCCCATTATTTATATATTGCTTTATAGTTTTCCTTCAGCTCAAATTATTTTCTAATTTTCCATGTTATTTTTTGTTGACCCATTGTATATTTAGAATTATATTATTTAATTTTCAGATCTTTGGAGGTTCTTCAGATTTGTCTTTTAAAATGTCACTTGTAATACTAACAACTGCAGTCTGTCTAGAATGGTCGAAGCGGTTTTTGCACCAGCTGTCTCTGGGTCCTGTGGTACTCATCAGAGGCGTGGTTCTGACTTTATGTCCTCTCATGGTTATCTATCTGTGGTTAAAGCAAGAATCAGACAAGATGCCCATTTCTTGTATCTTCAATGTAAGATAATGTTAATTTTGCAAATATGAGATGGGGATTGGTTCAAACATAAGATGGAAATCAGTGTTCAGTATTATTTAAGGGCTGGAGAGATAGCTCAGCTGTCTAAGCACCTGCCTGGCAAGCATGAGGACCTGGGTTGGATCCCAGGTACCACATGCTGGGCTGGCCCCAGAACCCTGGGCACACCATGCCACCCCAAAACCCAGTGTGGTGGCATGTCTCTGTAATCCCAGTGCTGGGGAGGCTGAGACACGAGGATCACTATGAGTCTAAGCTGCACAGCAAGACCCTGTATGAATCAATCAGTAGATAAACAAACAATTGCTATTTAAAATTTTTCTTTATTTTTGGATTTTTCAATTTATAATAAAATCTCCATTTTTGTTCCATTATTTTCTAGAAGCATAGTCTCAGAGACCTTAAACACTTTTCACTTATCCACTAATATTTATTTAATAATTAAGAAATGTCTTTAGTTTCTTCTTAGATAACAATGGTTTCCAAAACTTGATACCACTATAAAGAACAGGTAACACAGAGTTGTTCTGAGTCCTACTTTCACCCTTTTGTAGCACAGTGTCCGGAAGAGCTAGATTTACAGCCAGCCAGGTCTTGGGTAGCACAATGGTGTCAAGTTCTATCTCTCACATGAAACTAAAAACCTAAGTTGAGAGCACTGTTGAAAATGAAAAGGTAGTTAATGCTTGTTGTGTGCCAGCACCTTCTAAACAAACCCTGTCTCTCCTCCCTGTCGCAAAAGAGGCTTAGGAGCTGCAGAATGTCTTAAGCCAGAGAAGCCGCAACTGGCCAGGTATAGGATTTCTGTGGCGATCTGATGTGGGAGGCGTGCTCTCCCTGCTGGGCAGGAGCGGATCCCAGAGAGGAAGGCTGGCGCTTCAGTGCAGTCCTTCGTGTACGCGGGAAGAGCCACAGAAAGGGAAATCATCTCCTAAGTGTTGGCACAATTTTAAATTTTTAAAAATAAAACGATAAAATAGTCATTCTCTATTTACTGGATGCAAAAAGTGTTCATTCTGTCATTTAGTAATATATATATTCTATTGCCATCTAAAGTAGGATCTCAATATGTGACATGAATAACTAACTGCGTACTACTTAACATGCCCAAATATTAAAAGCATTAGCTTTCGGTGAGGTCGCACTTTCCTTTTTTTTTTTTTTTTTTTTTTGTTGCCTCTCTCTGTCGCTCTTTGTCTCTATCGCTCTCTCTCTTATATATTGATCTTGCATTATTTATCCAAATTCTATAAAGTTGCTTTTTAAAATCTCTCAGATACAAGCATTTTGTTTGTAATTTTTTATGTGTGTTGTTTCCTTCCTCATCTTTATACGTTTAAAAGTGGATTGCAGATTAGGAAGAATTTCTTAATTAAATCTTATGCCTGATCTTTGAATGAATACAGGAACTAGTACTCCATTTTATTTCAGCTTTTAAAATAGTACATATTTCACGAAGAAGTGAATTCAAAGACCTAAATGAAATGTTATCACATGTTCCTATAGATATGCATATTTTTGCATTATTACCGTAATGTTTTAATTGGATGCTTCTATGAGAGTATCTTGCTAATTCACTTAAGTCACTCAAAGTCATATTCCTCTACCTCAGCCTGCCAGAGTGTTGGGGCTGTTGGTGTCCACCACCATGTGTGACTTACATCGAGTTATTTATATTTCAGAATTGATTACTGTATATAAATATTATATAATATATATATACTATATTATGCTTTAAATGACTATTTTCTAAGTGAGATGGTTTAAATATATGCATGAAAGTCATAAAATGGTATTGGGAAAAAATTGTTATGAAGAGAGCATATATCCTTCCGTCATCTCTTTGTTTTATCTTTTGTAGGTGGTCCTGGCTTACTGGTATCGCATATTCACAGGAATAACGACTTTATTTGGTATAGAAACTAAGGCCTGCTGGAATATCACCAGAGTGGGATTTCCTAGTCAAGTCGAGAGCTGTGAAGGTCTGTGTCTCCCTCCAGCCCTGCTGTGCTGTCCTTAAGGCTTTCATAAACACAAGAATCAGTGTATGCGAACAGCTGTGGCTCACTCTTTCATTTAAACAACACTAGAAATGCTTCATCTCAAAGATTATTTTGTACTTCAGTTTTCTGTGAAGGCTTCGTATTTGTTAAATTGTATATAAATTTGGAAGTTAACTTGTGCATTAATTTAGCCCAAGAAGGTAAACTTGAGTAAAAGTCTTCTATATCATAGTGAAATAATACAAATAAGAGTGTTTTGAGGTAGCTTCAATAAGTACATTTTATGATGAAGTACATACACTTGTAATAGTGTTTTAGCAAAGTAGCACAAATGTATTAAAAATCAGATTCAGCTTGTAGCATCAACATTGCCTTTTTACATACCAGAGTCTGGTGGGTAGTTTTAGTCAGGCTCTTGCTATGTATCTTCTACACTGGTTTCTTTGTCAAGTAACAGCTTTGGGAATCGTGTGACAGTTCTCTGGGACATGCAGTGGTTACTCGCTGCTACTTTAAATGTGTGCAGTTGAGCTCTCTGGCAACCCAAGGACAATGCTGTCCCTTGGGACGCTTGTGCAGGGTCACATATGCCTACCTGCATAGCACTTACATCGTTGATTTTCATTTGTGCCATCCTCCATAACATGACTATTTTTTTTTATCTTGAAGAGCATAAAACTATGAAAAAGAAAGACACAGAATTTCAAAATAAAATGATAGGAAATTAACAATGGTGGTTCTATTGCATATGGTTCTCTCTAAAGTAGTTGTTTAGATCACCAGATATGGACATGCAAGATTGATCAAGGAATTAAACATTAACTGTCTTTTTCAATAAATCAATAGAAATTAGTAGTATAATTATTTTAGCTATTGTGTGTGTATATATAAATATGCATATATTATATATAATTTTTCTTTGTTTTCTCCTTTCTCCCATTCCAGTTGTCCTTTCCTTTTTAGAAGTTTCTTTCCCTTTCACAACACCTATTGTGCATTTCAGATTTTATTTATTATTTCACTTCCTTATACTAGGGAGACAGTGCAATGTTTACACATGTGGGTCTGATTTATTTCACTAATTAGTATGGTCTCTAGTTGCACCCATTTACCTATGAAAGCTTTGAGTTTATCTTTATTTATAGCTGAGTAATAGTCTACTGAATAAAAATGCCATGTTTATAGCAGCTCAACTTGTCACAGTTAAATCTTGGAAACAACCCAAAAGCTGATCAATTGAAGAATATACAACATGATTATTTATTATACTATTCATTATATTTTATAAATATATTTTTATACATTTGTTTGTAATATCCAACTATGGAAATATAAACCAATCTATATTACCTTATATTTTTATTGATTGCCCTAAATAATTTTATGAAATCTAAAAGAAAATTGATAGAGGGTATTTAAGAAACAATTACATTTTTTTTTTTTTTGTGGTACCAAGATTCAACTCAGGACCTTGCACTTGTCAGACAGGTACTTATTCTGCTGAGCTATATCCCCAGTCCAACAATTACATTTTTATTTATTTCTTTACCATATAAAAGAATAGAGAAATACATGGTGAATTGAGAAAGTTGCTAAAGCCTCAGTCAGCTAGAAGGCACAGTCTTTATGGAGAGATGAAAGTATAACTCTCTGTAAGGACACATACTGTAGTGCCTAAATTCCCAATAAGTGACAGGTTAGACCCTGGCACTTGGGTTGCAGCAGTGGCCCAGTGGACATGGCCCTTATCTTCATGGAGCCCACATTGTGAGGGGGCTCTTAGAAGTTATAACTGTGGGGTCAATACACAAACAAAAACAAAGCAATCAAGAGAAGTATTCAAGGGTAGGGGTCAGCATAGTCTCTGGCCTCATGAGAAAAGTACAAAAGTGTCAGGGAGAGCAGAGAGAAGCTGGGCTTCCTGGAACAGAGGGAAGGGACGGAAGTGGTATAACATTACCCTGGGAGTACAAGATAGGGTCCTGACAAGATAGGCCCCACAGAAGAGAAGGCTTCCATACTTCATTCATTGAGGCACTGGAACAGATTCCTACCTTGAGCATTATTCTGATAGTGGGTTGGAAAGGATATCATGGGCCTCCAGAAGGCAGAGACTATTGTGCTCTCAGCATATGATTTGTATAGAGAAAGAGCTGTGAGACGTCGGGTCTTGGGAGGCATCTTGGAAGCAGACCCAATGAGACTTAGCTGATGAGAGGGAGGTAAGAGAGGAAGAAGTCCTGTAACGCTTTGCTTTTGAGCTTGAAAAAATGAATTTCTTGAACAATAGAAAATATGACAAGTACTGCTGTGAATTGCTGTGTTTGCTGTGGATGTATTCGTGTGAGATCCTAGAGAGAGATGTCACATGGATCCCTGCATAGATAACTTTAGGAATAAGAATACTGGGGGCTGAGTATAACTTGAACTCATCTCTATGTAGATGATACTCAGAGCTACAGAAGTGGAAGAATTTCCTTCAGGAGAATATGCAGATTGAAAAGAGAGGAAATCAGGTGACAGAGGCTAAGGGGATCCAGTGTTGAAGGGAAGGTGCCTAAGCAAGAGAGATTGATACTGGACAGACTGGAAGGAGTGGCCAAGGAGGTAGAGGGCCACAAGGGCCAGCCCTTGAGCTTGGCCCAAGCCAGTTAGATAGGAAAGACTTCTGGCAAGGTATTTACCTATTATTTGTTTTCTTAACCATAGAAATACTTTTATGACAATCTCAATTTTGCCTGAGAATTAATTGGAATGATGATTGTAAAACAAATACGAAGTTCTATACACACAATCCTATGTATGTGGGATATGTTAAAATTCTAGCTGTTGATAACAGTGGCTTAAAGCCTGGACCATCTCATTCAGACTAAAGCTGCCCAATGAAGTCAAAGACTTTACCTTACTCGTCCCAGAGCCTAGAAAAAATGGTAAAATGGTGCAGAGGCTTCCTTTCAGGACTCACCAAGTGACTCTACAGAAAATTCCAGACGCCAAGGAAGAGCAGTAGCATCTTTATTAATGAGAAACCTGAACAATTTTCTCTGTACAAGAACACTTCAGTAGGGGAACTTATAAATGTAGCTAAATAATGCATTACAGGTGTTGGAGATGAAGCTCAGTGGCAGAGCCCTTGCTTAGAATGCACAATACCCTCAGTTTGACCCACAGCAACAAACCCACACTCTTCCCCCACAACACCCTTTGTATATAGGTGAAGATTACTGAAACTATTAAAGAGTGTGTCAGTTTGAAAGCAAATGCTTTCAGCAAATTCATGAGTTTGTGAGTTAAAATCACTGAGATATTATGCTCCCTTGCTTTACAGCCATTTGTTCACTAAATGCTGAATAACCTCTGTCTTTTCAAAGGATTGGGAGACCCTACTTGCTTTTATGTGGGTGTGATTTTTTTCTTAAATGGGCTCATGATGACACTGCTCTACGTCTACGCTGCATACCTGAGGTGAGACACTAAATTAAAAAATCTGAACTGAGTTTAAAAAGGCCAACTGATAATCATTGATTGCATGAGAAAATGAATGGGGTTAATGATTAATAGTAGGAGCAGTTGTAGATTTATTTGATTTTTAAGGTGCTTGACCAATGTCTTAACAGCCAAAAACCTGAAATGTCACTAAAAGAATACCTTAAATGAGGCCCGCCTCTAGGTTTTTGCATTTATGAATTTTCAGACAAGGTTTTAATGAAAATACCTCTCTTCCTCTGGAATTGATAACAACATTAATGCTCTGGTTAGCGTCAATTTATTCTCACCATATTTTCTGTAAATGTGAGATTAAGAAAACTATAAAATCCTGCATAGAATGTGTAGCCGACGCTTTCCTTTGTTAGCCCATCTTTTGCGATAGCGGTAGCACAACTTTGTTTGGAGGAACAGTGCCCCGTTTCAGAGGCCAAGTCATGCATTCCAGTCATCTGCTCCCTCTCAGGCTCTCTAGCTCCTCAGCAGAGTTAGTTTTTGCCAGTGATAAATAAAGAGCCTCAGAAGATATCTGTCTTCCTCACAAAAGGATGTATTCCACAATCCTTCCTCTATTTCTTTGACTCGTTACATGGAAATGATGTCTGGAGCCACAACAGTCACCCTGTGGTCATGATTTAAAGTCCTTGAAAAGCCGACCTACTTGAGTAACCTACTTGAGTTGCTAAAGTACTAACAGATATTTAACTAACCAGTACTAACAGATATTTACCTCTTATTTTGTTGTTGTTGTTGAACAATATAATAAGCACTCTAACTGTGTTAAGCCATATTTGTCAGGTTTTTTTTTTTTTTTTTTTTTTTCACAGTGAAATATATTCCATTAACTCTGTTTACAGTGTTTTTTATGAAATTTAAAACATGTAAAGTTATAGATCTAGATTTAATCTTCCAAGAATTCACTGAATTTCATAGGGCTTCGGTCAGTATAGCTTAACATGTATATGTGCACCTTGATTTAGGGAATTTTGAGGCATAAAACAACTTGTGTAGAATCAGAGGAATTTAGAGATATATTTAATAATGTATCATGGATCACATCCAGCATGTAAGCTAAAATAAAGTATAAGGCTTGGAAAACTTGACAGGAGAAGTAAAGTTTTGAAAAATAGTTCACATTGTATATGTAGAAAATAAAAAATTAAAAATAAACTATATTCGGCATTTAGAAAATTTATGATGTTATCTGAACACAAAAATTGATACATAAAAGTGTCTGCTTAGGCAAGCCCAGGGACCTGGATTCCCCAGCATGCAATGCCGACCCTGCCCCCTCCTGGGGTGCATTGAGATGGTAGATGAGACTCGGTGTGTTGGCACGTGCCTGTAATCCCAGCACTTAGGAGGCTGAAAACAGGAGGATTACTACAAGTCTGATCTGTGTAGTGAGACCCTGTAGACCCTGTGCTAAATACATAAAAAAATTGATACAGAAAATTATAGATTTTATACTTTAGCATCAAACAAAAATGAAATTATAAAAGATGCTACTTAGAATAGTATTAAAGTTGTAAAGTGTCTAAGACCAGCTCTAACAAAAGTTCTGTATAGCTATTACAGGAAAATTGTTAAAAATTAATTGACACACTTAAGAAAATAGGAATAAATTGAGAGATATATCATGCTAATGGATTGGAAGATGATGATTAACACAAATTGATTTAAAGACTCAATGCTCTACCATTGAACATTCTGTCATAATGTTATTGATCCCATTAGTTGATTTTAGAGTTATCCAGAAATGAAAAGGCCAAATTTAATGAGAACATTTTTGCAACAGATAAAACTAGCTTTATCAATTATTGCTATATCATAGCACTAATATAAGTAAGACAGCATGCTAGATAAATGGATAACAGGAATGCAGGAGAGGCCAGACATAGAAATGCATATTGGAAAACACTTTATGTATGACAGCAGATATTGCAGCCTCCCTTGTGGCTGAGGTCGGGATGTAGCTCAGTGCCATAAGCACCTGCCTGGAAAGTGCAAGATCTCAAGTTTGATTCCCCAGTGCCACTGAAACAAACAAACAAACAAACAAACAAACACACAGCAACACACACACAAAAAAAATTAGAGAGCTGAGTAGATAGCTCAGCAGTATACGCACATGTCTGGCAAGTGCAAGAACCCAGGTTTGACCCACAGTGCTGCATGCTGTGCTGGCCCCTGTACTAACGGCATTCCATGCCCACTATCGAAACTGGGCCTGGTGGCCCACACTTGTAATCCCAGCCCTGGGGATTCTGAGACAGGAGAATCACTACAAGTCTGAGCTGGGTAGCGAGACCCTGTACCAAATAAATAAATAAATAAAATGTTTAAAGAGCATTAGAAACAATACAAGATGTAATTGAAAAGTAATAGGAATTCAACAAAGGTTGCTGTCCTGCATGATGCTGTCATTCAAATTAGTCGTTTAGGTTACCAGATATAAACCTGCAAAATTGGTTTAAAACAATACAAAACAAAATAACAACAATAAAAAAGTAATAAGAAATTTAAAAGAATAAAAAGAGAAATATTTTAAGCATTAACTGCTCCTTTCAGAAGAAGCAGAAATCGGCAGTACAGTTATCCTAACTATCCTGCATAGATACATAAACATGTCTTTTCCCCTTCTTTCTTTTTCCTTCCTCTCTGATATACACCCCTCGAATTTCCTTTAGTGAGAGTCTGTCTGTCATCACCCACTTCTAGGAACTTTCCTGCTTGTCTTTTGGACTCTTCCCTGTCTTCATTCATCTCCCCCATACTTAGTCTTCCAAGTGTGGAGCTGGGGACGCTGCAAAGCATGAGATCCAGACGGATGGTGTTGGCGTGGGGCTTGGAATGCTGGGAGTCTGCCCGGAAGTGGGTGTGAACACTGCATCTAGGAAATGGGTCTCACTTGTTGATGGCTATTGGATGCCTTCCTACATTGCTGCTTCCTTCAGACTCAACAAATCAATACATCCAGTCACTGCCTGCTGTTGCTGTTAAACAAACTGGGAGACCCTATGTGTCAGGCAATTAAATTCAGTTTCAAATGATAAAATTTCCTCTGTTTGGAATACTCAAAGAATGGGATATAGACTAAAGTGCTAGTCTGTTGGTTAATTTTTTTTTTTTTATACTAGAAATTTATACTGGCATTCAAAGCAGGGTAGGTTTAAACTTACAACTGTCCAGTCATGAACTTTCAGGGTGCTGGGATTATAGATGTGTGCCACCATGCCTGGGTTGTTCAAAAATATTTTACGTTCACAAATGACCTATTTTATTTAGAAAATATGAAGTACAATAAATTATAAACTTTAGATTACAGTGTCTATACAATTTTTGTATTTACACTTTCAATATTAAGACATCAATTACATGGGCACTTTTGAAAATTTTAGCTATGATTTAAGTACAGAAAAATAATTTGAAGTTTCGAGAGTTTTTCAAAAATCTCCCTTTATCTTACATGAATTATGATTTCATACTTTGTTTTTTTACAGTGGGAGTCAATTAGGAGGTCTAATTACAGTACTGTGCTACTTTTTCAACCATGGAGAGGTTTGTTTTCTGGAAAATAATTTTAAGATCTTGAAAGGCTATATAAGAACAAAGAGATATAATCATTAAAATAATATATAGTTGCATATTATTTGTGAGCTGGTAATATTTGGTAGAACCTTGCATTGTAAGTTGGTATTTTATTGTATTGACCTAAATTTTTAAATCATCTGATGTTAAAAATATATGGACTATCTTTCATGTGTACTTACATGTACATGTGTTCAGTAGAACAAAGGAAATGCTGCACTTCTTAATTTGTTGCCCTTCCTCCTGGCAAGCTCGGTTGGAGGTGCTTGCTGCCCTCACCGTCCGGATTCCAGCAGTGAATTTTCACAGGTTAGGTTGCTTACCCAAGATTCCACACTCCACCTGGTGAAGCTGAGGTCCCCCTCTTCCCAGCCAGTACTGGGGATTGAAGCCATGGCCTGTATACTAAGCTGTCCATCCCTGGGCTGGGCTCAGACTTTTAGTTGTCCTGCCTCAGCCTTCCAGAGTGCAGAGATTATAAGTGTATGCCACTGTACCTGGAGAGTTAGCAGTAAGAGGATTTAGCAGGAGAACTGCCTTTTTAACAGGATTTTAAGTGTTGTAATACAGTATCATTAACAAAATGTTGTGCAGCAGATCTCTAGAGTGTATTTGTCTTGCTCAGGTGACCCTTTACACACTAGACTTCTCCGGGGTTGGAAGTTGCCTTGGTGCCTGACCACAGAGCCACGGTTTTGCCAGCTACCACCTTTCTTCTACAGCATCTTGATACAAAGTGTTGAATTAAAAGTAGGGATTTACTATTTCATCCTAAAGGAATGTTGCCCACTACACAGGGCTCATAGAAACTTAGGTAGAATATGATGCCTTCACTAGACAAAACATTGCTTGTGTACAAACCATGTGCCCGACTGTTAGATCCTGAGGACATGGCAGTGAGTCTGACTGTCATCTCTACGAGGCAGAATATGCACTGTGCAGTGCCACAGGTTAGTAGGGAAGAAGTCTTCATGCATTGTTAGTGGGTTAAGTCTTAAGTTAGACAAGGGAAGAGTACGCGCTATACATGAAATGCTCTCAATATGTTATTTCAGCCTAAGGCAAACAAACACCTTGTCATGCAATAACGTATTGACCTGTAGAAAAAGCCTTGCATTTGTGTTCGTTAGATTACTCATGGTATAAATTAACTTTTTATGCAATTATAATTCTTCTTCCATAGTTTACAATTTGATGTTCTTAAGACAATACCTTTTAAGAGTCTTGTAGAGTAATAGGATTTTAGTGTTTTGAGAATTCTTGATACAACCTTTTTATCATACTCTGATCCATATATCTTAGAAATCATCTCAAATATGCATGAACATTTAATACTTACAGACATATGTCATGTTATTTATGTTATGTGCCTCATACTAGTAATTGTCATTACTTCCAGTTGCCTTTAAAATTTACAGACCAGTCTTTTAAGGATGTATTGCACACACTCAGAGGGGATCTTGACTACTGTGCCACCTGGATTTGTTATGTGTAAACTCTTGGTGTTTGGGAATGCTCCAGGTGACACCTGTTTGAGTATTGCTGTGGACGGGTGTGTAGCTCAGGGCGCAGGATGTCTGGATCACACATAAAAGGCCAGACCGTGGATCTGGCCTAAGAATCCTCATAGTCCCTATCCCTGCCGTGTTGTCACTGGAGCTTACTTGTGCTTGGTCCCATTGATCTGGCTCTTGTTCTGGGCCTAGAAGATGGTCCCTGTACTCAGTGGTCCTGTGCTAGGAGATCCAGAATGGAAGAGCTTTGCCTGCTTTCAGAAGTAGGATCCAGCCAGGGGAAGCCAGCCCTTGTGTTGGGCGAATGATGTTTGTTGTCATGGACCTGA